AAGTTTGTAAAATTTTGTTTTCTTCAAATCACAATTATTTCAAACTGTTTCCTAAATTTCAGTACTGTGTACATGTTCTACATCATTTTTCACTTACAATTTTAAAGACCTATGCTTTTTTTCCCACACGGGTCGGGGTGCAAATGATGAAATCACAGCTCACCACAGCCTCAGCCTCCCACGTGGAGCATGGTGGCTCATGCCTGTAATCCCAGCTTTTGGGAGGTCAAGACAGAAGGATCATAAGGATCATCTCTATCATTCGGGTTCTGCAATTTCAGGATAATGTGTCTCCACATGGTTCTTTTTTATTCATTAGATGAGGCACTTGACAAGCTGCTTCTTCCTGAAAACTATTTCCTTCAATTCCTGGAAACTGTCTTGCATCATTTCTTTGGTAATTTTCTCATTATTTTCTTATCTCTTCATGGGTCTCCTGTATTTGTGTTCTAGTTTTCCTCTCCCATTAATTTTTTTTTCCCTTTTATTTTCTGGACAATCTCCTTTTTTTTTGGAGACAGTCTTGCTCTGTCACCTAGACTGGAGTGCAGCAGTGCTATTTCCACTCACTGCAGTGGACATCCACCTCCTGGGTTCACCCAAGTAGCTGGGGTTACAGGCACACACCACTACAACCCAGCTTGTATTTTAGTAGAAATGGGGTTTCACCATGTTGTCTAGGCTGGTCTTGAACTCCTGACCTCAGGTGACCTGCCCACCTTGGCCCTCAAAGTGCTGTGACTACAGGAGTGAGCCATTGCACCCGCCCTAATCTCAGTTTTATATCCCAACCTTTCAGCTGATTTTTTTTTTTTCTGTGTTCTTTTGCTGGAGTGCAGTGGCATGATCTCAGGTCACTCCAACTTCTACCTCCCGGGTTCAAGTGATTCTCCTGCCTCAGCCTCCCAAGTAGCTGGGACTTCAGGTGCACATCACCCTGCCAGGCTAATTTTTATATTTTTTAAGAAGAGACAGGGTTTCACCATGTTGGCCAGCCTGGTCTTGAACTTCTGACCTCAGGTGATCTGCCCTCCTTGGCCTTCCAAACTGCTAGAATTACAGGTGAGCCACTGCGCCCAGCCTTTTTTTTTTTTTTAAGACTGTCTCACTCTAACACCCGGGCTGGAGTACCGTGGTGTAGTCTTGGCCCATTGCAACCTCTGCCTCCTGGGTTCAAGTGATTTTCCTGCCTCAGCCTCCTGAGTAGCTGGGACTACAGGTGCTCACCACCACATCCAGCTAATTTTTTTTTCTTTTAGACGGAGTCTCTGCAGCCCAGGCTAGAGTACAGTGGTGTGATCTTGGCTCACTGCAACCTCACCTCCTGGGTCTTGGTTCAAGCAATTCTGCCTCAGCCTCCTGAGTAGCTGGAATTACAGGCATGTACCACCATGCCCAGCTGATTATTGTATTTTTAGTAGAGACGGTTTCACCACGTTGGCCAGTTTGGTCTCCCAACTCCTGACCTGAGGTGATCCACCTGCCTCAGCCTCCCAAAATGCTGGGATTAAAGGTGTGAGCCACCATGCCCAGCCAACTCCTCCTTGATAGTATTCCATTCTTGTTTCATAAGTACAATTACCCTTTAAGATCTTAGTTACAGATCGGGTGTGGTGGCTCATACCTGTAATCCCAGCACTTTGGGAGACTGAGGCAGGTAGATCACAAGGTCAAGAGATTGAGAGCATCCTGGCCAACATGGTGAAACCCCCTCTCTACTAAAATACAAAAATTAGCCAGGCATGGTGGCACGTGCCTGTAATCCCAGCTACTCAGGAGGCTGAGGCAGGAGAATCACTTGAACCTGGGAGGCGGAGGTTGCAGTGAGCTGAGATGGCACCACTGCACTCCAGCCAGGCAACAGAGTGAGACTCTGTCTTTAAAAAAAAAAATTTAGTTACGTAAATTTGGAAGTCTTGTATCTCATATACTGTTTCTGTTTTCTGAGTTAGGTTTTTATTTATTCATTTTGATCTCTTTCTTTTTAGAGAAAGGGTCTTGCCGTGTTACCCAGGCTGAAGTGCCGTAGCTATTCACAGCTCTCACTAACCGACATGGGAGTTCTGACCTGCTCCGTTTCCACGCTAACCCTAACGCTAGTGCTCTGCTGCTCCAGGTCACTATAGTGGTGCTGAAATTCTTGTGGATACCCAATGAGCAAAGCACAATATAGCTCACAAGCCCTGGGCTCAAGCAGTTCTCACCTCCGCCTCCCCAATAGCTGGGACTGTGGGGTGTGCCCCTATGCCTGGCTCTGTCTTCTTGATTAGGTTTTCCGTAAATGTCTCTTGATGCTTGATGGTTCATTTATTTATTTTTGAGACAGTCTCACTCTGTCACCAGGCTAGAGTGCGGTGGCACGCCTCTGCTCACTCTGTAGCTGGGATTACAGGCACGTGCCACCACACCCAGCTAATTTTTGTATTTTTAGTAGAGATGGGGTTTCACCATGTTGGCCAGGATAGTCTCGATCTCCTGACCTCGTGATCCACCCGCCTTGGCCTCCCAAAGTGCTGCGATTACAGGCATCAGCCACCATGCGTGGTCCGGTTCATTTGTTTTTAAAAATCAGTGTCACTAAGACATTCTTCGGAAGCTTATTGTGGGCTGCACTTGTCAAGTGGTGCCTTCGCTGTGGGCCAATCAAGCAGGGACCCAGTTTGTTGAGGATCACACATTATCAAGGGAGGCCAAGGTGGGAGGATCACTTGAGCCCAGGAGTTCAAGGTCCCTTTTTTTCGGGGCAACACAGACCCCCGTCTCTACAGAAAATACAGAAATCAGCCAAGTATGGTGGCACACATCTGTAGTTCCAGTTACTCCAGAGGCTGAGGCAGGATAATCACTTGAGCGCAGGAATTGGAGGCTTCAGTGAGCTGTGATTGCACCACTGCACTCCAGCCTGGACAGGAGAGTGACACCCTGTCTCTAAAAAAATACATTTTGTAAAAATGTTTAAATTTTACTTTTGAAACAGAGTCTCGCTCTGTTGCCCAGGTTGGAGTGCAGTGGCACGATCGGCTCACTGCAGCCTCTACCTCGTGGTTTCAAGTGATTCTCTTGTCTCAGCCTCCCAAGTAGCTGGGATTACAGGCATGAGCTACCATGCCTGGCTAATTTTATACCAACTTAGTCTTCAAACTCCAGGTGATTTTCATTTTTTGAGACAGGGTCTTAACACTGTTGACCAAGCTAGAGTGCAGTGGTGCGATCATGGCTCACTGCAGCTTTCACCTGGGCTGAGGTGATCCTCCAGCCTCAGCCTCCAGAGCAGCTGGGACTAGAGGTGCCTGCCACCATGCCCAGCTAATTTTTTTCTTTTTGAGACAGAGTCTCACTCTGTTGCCCAGACTAGAGTGCAGTGGCATAATCTGAGCTCACAGCAGCCTACACCTGCCAGGTTCAAGCGATTCTCCTGCCTCAGCCTCCTGAGTATCTAGTATTACAGGCTCCGGTCCCCACGCCTGGCTAATTTTGTAATTTTTAGTAGAAACCGGGTTTCACCATGTTGGCCAGGGTAGTCTCGAACTTCTGACCTCGGGTGATCCACCTGCCTCAGCCTCCTTTCAAAGTGTAGAGATTAGGGGCCGGGCGCAGTGGCTCACATCTGTAATCCCAGCACTTTGGGAGGCCGAGGCGGGTGGATCATGAGGTCAAGAGATTGAGACCATCCTGGTCAACATGGTGAAACCCCGTCTCTACTAAAAATACAAAAAAAAAAAAAAAATAGCTGGGCATGGTGGCGTGTGCCTGTAATCCCAGCTACTCAGGGGGCTGAGGCTGGAGAATTGCCTGAACCCAGCGGGTGGAGGTTGCGGTGAGCCGAGATCACGCCATTGCACTCCAGCCTGGGTAACGAGCGAAACTCCGTCTCAAAAAAAAAAAAAAGTGTAGGGATTACATTCGTGAGCCACCATGTCCGGCCCTAAGTGATTTTTTCTTTTTTTTTGTCTGAGATGGAGTCTTGCTCTGTCGCCCAGGCTGGAGTTCAGTGGCGCGATCTCGGCTCACTGCAACTTCCTCCTCCCAGGTTTAAGCAGTTCTCCGCCTCAGCCTCCCGAGTAGCTGGGATCACAGGCACGCGCCACCTCGCCTGGCTAATTTTTGTATCTTTAGTAGAGACGGGGTTTCACCATGTTGGCCAGGCTGGTCTTGAACTCTTAACGTCGTGATCCACCCGCCTCGGCCTCCCAAAGTGCTGGGATTACAGGTGTGAGCCACTGCGTCCAGCGTGATTTTTTAAAAGCTTAAATCGGATCATGTCATTTCCCAAGTTGAAAATGTGCAGAGATGGTCCGGCAACCCCATTTCGGGGTACAGACACAAAAGAATGAGTCAGAGAGATCTGCAGGCCATCGTGGCCAGGAGGGGCAACAAGACAGCGGGGTCGGTCCACGCAGGGAGCGCTGATCCCCCGGAAGGAAACCCAGGCTCGAACGCGGTCCCTCTGAGGACACTGCTAAGCGAAACGCGCCGGCCGCAGAGGGACAGTCCCGCAGGAGAGGGCGGGGCTGGGCCGGGGTTGGGAAAGGAACAGCCCGGCAGAACCTGCGAGCACTTCACGCCACTTGAACCGTACACGCAGGAAGGGCGCCTACGAAAACCTTGATTTCATGTTCCGCCACCAAACAAATCCTGTTTAAACCTGCGGTGGTTTCCCAGTCCCTTAATCCAGGGTCCCAGGTTCTCCGCGTCTCCACCCCGGCACCCAGCCTCCCGCCTGGGCAGGCACTTCGGTGCGGAACCTTCTGGAAAGCCCCGCGTCCCCAGAACCCGGTCCGTACCTGCGCCCCCAAACGCTCGCGGGCACAAGTGACCCGACCGGAGGGTGGCGGGGCCGTGGCTCAGTGAAAACACCCCTTTCCCGGAAGGCGGCACCGCGCGCCACGCCCCGGGAGGCGGGACTTCCGCCCTCCGCCGTTCGGAAGCGGTGGCTCGGGGAAGCGTGTCCCTCGCGCCGCGCCGTCGGGGCCGTGAGCGCCCGCGCGGGAGCTGGCAGCATGGCGTTCCGGCAGGCGCTGCAGCTGGCGGCCTGCGGGCTGGCAGGAGGCTCGGCGGCCGTGCTCTTCTCGGCCGTGGCGGTAGGAAAGCCGCGTGCGGGCGGGGACGCGGAACCACGTCCGGCTGAGCCGCCGGCCTGGGCGGGGGGCGCGCGGCCGAGCCCGGGCGTCTGGGACCCCAACTGGGACAGGTGCGTGCTGGGCTGGTCGGTGCCGGGGCCGGGATGGGTTCAGGGCTGATGTTACCGTTGGGATCGCGATCGGGACCTGGGTCGGGATCCGTCGGGGCCGGAGATAAGGTTGCGATCGGGGTCGGGATCGGGTCGAGGCTGGGGCCGCCTCCGGGGGCCGCTCTGCGCTGAGGGTTCTGGGGGCGGCGGGCCCTTCCTGCCGGCTTGTGGGGGCCGGGCTCCGCCGCGTCCTCGCCCTTCTCCCCTGCGAGTCCACCCTGGGTGCCGTCGCCGGAGCGAGGCTGGGGTGGAAGCCCGGCCTCCTCCAGGGTCCTTTCCGGGAGCGCGCCCTTGAGCCTTGTGTGGTTATTGAGCGTTTGAAATATGGCTCGTGCGATTCCTGAAGGCAATGCTTAGTTTACCTCAATTTAACAACCAAAGCAAGGCCGAGTGCGGTAGCCCACGCCTGTAATCCCAGCTTTTGGGAGGCCGAAGCCGGAGGATCCCTTGAGCCCAGGAATTTGAAACCAGCCCGGGCAACATAGTGAGACCCCATCTCTAAAAAAAAAAAAAAAAAAACTTAGCCGAGCGAGGTGGCACGCGCCTGTGGTCCCATCTCCTCGGGAGGCTGGGGTAGGAGGATCCCTTGAGTCCAGGAGTCCCAGGCTGCAGTGTGTGAGCCAAGATCCCGCCACTTCACTCCAGCCTGAGCCACAGAGCCTGTCTCAAAGAAAAAAAACAAGAGTAGTGCAGGTTTTTAATATTGATTATGTTTTGAAATGATAGTATTTTTAGCATATTGAGTGTAAAGTGTGATCGAAATTCACCTGTTTACTTTGCTAATGTTGCTGTTGGAAAATTTATAATGTCACATGTTGCTGGCATTGTTTCTGTTGGCCAGGACTGCTCTACAGGAAGGGATGGTTTGCCCAGCGCTAACTCATTATACTTGCTACTTTGAGAGGGGTACAGAATCAAACTGCAATGGTTGTAGTTAGGTGCTTCAAAGATTTTTTCTTTTGCTAACCTTTAGTTTTTTTAAAGTAAACGTTAGTTTTGCAGTTACAGAAAAGTTGCAAAGATAATAGACTCCCTCTATATTTCCATATATATTTTTTTTCTTTTAAGTGACAGGGTTTCACCAAGTTGGCCAGGCTGGTCTTGAACTCCTGACCTCAGGTGATCCACCTATCTCAGCCTCCCAAAGTGCTGGGATTACAGGTATGAGCCACAGCACCCGGCCTCTCCCTCTATATTTCATACCTAGTTTCTTCTGTTATTAGCATCTTACACTAAGTATGGTAGTGTAGCAGGAGCGGCCTTGGGAAATGGATCTCTCGGACACTGAATACAGGAGGAAGGAGGGTTTATTGGGCTGGGAGCCGGGTGGCATTGTTGCCTAACAGCCAAGCTCCCTAACAAAGGAAGCCTCCCTCTTTATATAGGCTTATACTTTAGATGTTACACGTGGAAGAATCTTAGGTTTCTAGCTTAACATATGAAAGGGGTCTTGGTTTACAGTCTCAGGAATTACATGTGAAAAGGTTTCAGTTTACAGTCTTAGGAATGAAAGGGGAAGTTGATCTGAGATGCCTGGGTCTCCCTCTTCACCCCCCACCTTTGAGACCCTCACCACCTTACAATATTAGTGAGAGGTCTCATTTTCATTCTCACTTTCCAGATTTTCTGAAGAAACCGACTGATAATGTTTCATATAATACACTCGTGATGTCATGTTTTGGTTAACCACAGTAGTGATGAATCCCCTAGTCATCTGAAGGAACAGGGGGAGTAGACAAGGGAGCAGCAAACAAACAGCTATTATATTATTATGATAACACTTATGATGAGGGTTTTGAATCCTCCCAAGGATGAGACAAACCTCCAGATAAGGACTCAGGGTTAAATCCGTGCCACACCTGTACAGGCACGTGAGCCAGTTTGGTGATGTCTCGCACAGTATCCTCCACTGCTTGCCCTGGTCATCGATGTGCAGGTGGCAGTTGGTTAGATTGAATTTTCCACAGACTCCTCCTTTGGCCACTAGCAAATAATCTAGGGCCAGTCGGTTCTGATAAATCGCGTTTCTCATTTGAGTTTCTTGTTGGGCCAAGAGGGACAGCTTTGCCCGTTTCATTAGTATTTCCAAAACGGCTTGCAACCGGATGATCCGGTTGAGCATGTAAATAGGGGTCCGGTATCCCTTTGAGCCACCCTCAGCCCATGTGGCCGGCCCAGAGTACTCAATAATTCTCTCCGGTGGCCACTCATCATCTGTCCAGTCCCCTAGCGGAGTAGACTGGATGCCCTAACAGCTCACTGTCTTAACAGGTAACAGGAAGAAAGAGGGCTTAATGTTGCCTATGACACGGCTACCTGTCCGGCTCATGGATTCCACACCTCATACCTGGTATGGGGCTTAATGCCATACTGGGGGCATTCTTAAAAATTAGTTAATGTTCCGACTGTACAAGTCAAAATATTAAGAAGAACGAGTCCCACGATGAATCTGCTCATGCTTCAGCCATGTGTGCACCAGCCAGCTTCCGGGATGTGGCCGGAGCAAGGCTTGTTCTTTTTAAGGTGATTCTGCAGTCCTTGCCTTGGTCTAAGTCTCAGCCGTTGCTGGTTTTTACACAGCTGTGGTGGATTCAGGCTGGGAGTCCCTCTATCTTCACCGCTGTGGGACTGGTCAGGATTAGGTCGGAGGTGCTTTCCGTTGTGTCTTTAGAGGGGCTGTACTCCCATCATTTATCCACACGTGATTCCCTAGTGAGAAAGGGTGAGCTGGGGAGAATAAGCTTACAGGACATGTCATTTACCCAGATTGAAATACCCTGGACGATTTTCCCTAGAGCTCGTAACTGGCGTCCTAACTCAATCTCCCCCCACTCCCGAGGAGTTCCCGGGAGTGCCTGGAGTATGGGAGGGTGCCTATGATATAAGACTTCATAAGGGGAATATCCTGTTTTTCCTAAAGTGGGTGCCTCTAATTTTGAATAACACCAAGGGAAGTGCCTGCACCCACTCTAATCTTGTTTCCTGACACACTTTCCCTAAGCTGTTTCTGATGGTCCAGTTCATTTTTTCCATTTTTCCAGAACTCTGAGGTCGGTAGGCAGCGTGCAGTTCCCAGGTGATACCCAAGCCCGTTGCTGTTTTCCGTACTAAATCTGCCGCAAATGCTGGTCCGTTGTCTGATTCCATGCGCAGCGGCAGTCCAAACCTGGGGATAAGCTCTCGAAGCAGCACACGGGTTAGTTAAGACTTCATGGGCTCTTTCAGTCCCACCCAGAGTATGTGCACACCAGGACCAACAAATACTTATGTCCCCCACACTTGGACAGTTCAATAAAGTCTCTCTGGAAGTCTTCAAACGGAGCTGCTCCGTGAGCTTGATTCCAGGGGGAATAGTTGGACGCCGCCTCAGGTTGTGTTGCCGACATGTGATGCATCACTGTGTAGCAGGAGCGGCCGTGGGAAACGGATCTCTCGGACACCGACTACGGGAGGAAGGTTTATTCAGCTGGGAGCAAGGTAGCATAGCTGCCTAACAGCCAAGCTTGTTTAACAAAGGGAGGTTCAGCCTTTATATAGGTTTATACTTTAGATGTTACACGTGGAAGAATCTTAGGTTCATAGTTTTAGGACTCAACGTGTGAAAAGGTTTTACTTTATAGTTTCAGGAATTATACCGGAAAGGGTTCCGGTTTACAGTTTTAGGACTCACATGTGAAAAGGTTTCTGGTTTGATCTTGTTTTAAGTAAAAATAGTGCCTTCTGGAGAGTTTCCCCAGGGCCTAGCCTGTCACCTATAGGAAGGTAAAACCGGAGGCGCCAGTCGGTCAACCTTTTCTTCTGCTGAAACGCAGCATGACAGGCAAAGGGGAAGTGGACCTGAGAAGCCACTTCCTCGTCCCCCGCACTGAGACCCTCAGCATTTTATAATATCAGTGAGAGGTCTCACTTTCATTTCCACTTTCCAGATTTTTTGAAGAAACTGATGTTTTATATAATACACTTGTGATGTCATTTTTGGCTAACTGCAGTAGTGATGAAGCCCCTAATTATTTGAAGGACACGGGGAGTAGACTAGGGAGCAACAAACGACACCTATTATTATTATAACATGGATGATGAGGGTTTCGAGTCCTCCCAAAGCTGAGAACTAGCCTTCGAATAAGGACTCAGGGTTAGATCCGTGCCACACCTGTCCAGGTGTGCGTGCCAGTTTGGCCACGCCTTGCCCCTGGTTATCATGTGCAGACAGCAGCTGGTTAGATTGAATTTTCCACAGACTCCTCCTCTGGCTGCTAGTAAATAATCTAGGGCCAGTCGGTTCTGATAAATCACGTGTTTTATTTGAGTTTTTGCTGTTGGCCTAAAGGGACAGAGCTTTGCCTAATAGTGAGTATTTTCAAAACAGCCTGCAGCCGGATGATCGGTTGAGCATGTGAATAGGGGTCTGGTATCGCCGCGAGCCATCCTCTGCCCGTAATACTTAATAGTTTTCTCCAGTGGCCACTGATTATTTGTCCATTTTCCTATTTTTAGGTTTCTTTTTTTTTTTTGCAGAGTAAGCTGAATACATTAACAGCCCACCTGCCTAAACAGGTAATAGGAAGAAAGAGATAATGATGCGTATGACACGGCTACCTGTCCATTTTCTGGATTACACACCTCATATTGATACCATTATATACGCAGGTTCCCTTCTGTGTCCCTGCATAAATGTACATTTATAAGAACTGTAGGACAAAAGGATGGCAGTAACTCGTACACCCCACCTGGTGTACATACTGAGGGCATTTTTAAAAATTAATGTTCCTGCTGCACAAGTTCAAATATTAAGAAGAACAAGTCCCACGATGAATCTCCTCATGCTTCAGCTGTGCGTGGACCAGCCAGCCTCCAGGATGTGGCCGGAGCAAGGCTTGTCCTCTTTACAGTGATTCTGCAGTCCTTGCCTTGGTCCAAGTTTCGGGTGTTGCTGGTTTTTTACACGGCTGTGGTGGATTCAG